TGTGAAAGCTTCTCTGACAAATATTTACTATCTGTTTCTGCAAGATCCTTCTTTATCTGCATTATTCTGGCTTGTATTTCAGCTTTCGTGGAGGGGTCAGCCACGATGGTCGTAGAATTGCTTGTTATTGTTATTTTCCGAGCAATACCAAGCTGATCTGAGGTTGCACCTTCAAGATTCAGGCCTAAGTCTCCAGCAAGAAAATCAGCACCTAATTGCAATATAATGTCAGTTAGATGTGATGATAAAGGAGATCTTGGCAGATACTTGGCACTTGGGGCAACACTATGTCTTTAGAAGCCCATATAGCATACAAAAACTATAAATGGTTAAACCTCTTTTGTGAGCATTGCTAGAGCAAATGTACACTACAGAAAATGCAGATTGGGCTAACTGTAAAACCAATGTATTTGTGCTAAAGCATTAGGAAATTGCGCATACATGCACTGTGAATAATATCACCTAGCTTCAAATCTGTCCTCAAGATGAGTTAAAACCAATGTTCGCTCCCATGGAAAGTTCACATAATATCAAGACTTTACAAGCTTCACATGATAAAGAATCTCTCTCTGTCTCTCTGTCTCTGTATCTTTCTCTTGGTGGCGTTTGGAAGTCAGACCACTCTATACACTAATTCCATTTCGACACTTTATTTTTTGGGTTTGGATACATTTATTAACCTATTTTAATACAGAATGAAGTATTTGGTTCACCTGTCAATAGGGCAATGTCTTGCAATAAAGCTTTCTTTCCTTCTCCAAATCCTGGACATTTCACAACAGCAACATTAAGCATTCCTTGCATCTTGTTAATGACAAGTGTTTCTAGCACTTGGCTTGAAATATCCTCAGCAAAAATCAGCAGTGGCACACTCAGCTGTGTGGCCTTCTCTAGCAAAGGAACAATTTCTTTGACAGAAGATATCTTTTGATCGGTTACCAGAACTTTGGCATTTTCAAACTCTACTATAGATTTGTTGGGATTGTTGATGAAATGGGGTGACATGTACCCCTTGTCAATCTGTAGGAAAAGAATGCCTGAATACAAATCAAGAAAATAATGAAAACAAATGGAAGAAAAAGAATCTTCACATATGAAATGGTGAAATTAGCTAAAGAACATAAATAGATAACTAGAGGTTACTTCAGTTTCTTAGTAGAACTATAATCAAGCAAATAAGGTTCTTATGGCACTATGTTTGAGCTTTGAAATTTGCTTCAAACCTGAAAGGCTTGGAAAAATTAAGGAGGCATCATTTTTAACCTACCTGATAGCTTATTTTTCAGCACAGTATGATTAATTACAATTCTCTAATTCGAAGTCAGAGAGTACACATTGAAGAGCAGATATTACCTTCATTCCTTCTTCAACCATGACTGAGGTTTCAGCTGATGAGGAAGACTCAATACATATGACGCCATCAGGACCAATCTTCTTAATTGCCTCAGCAATCAAACTGCCAATGAACTCATCATTTCCAGCTGATATTGAAGCTACAGCTGCAAATAGTAAGAAGAGAGAGGGAGAGAGAGAGATCAAAACCTTTAATTTTTTAAAGTGAATAGAGATATTTTCTAAGTTGAATAAATAGAAAGAATAAAGCAAGTTACCTTTAATATCATCATTTCCTCTAATGGGATAGCTTTTCTTCTTCAAAATTTTGACCAGCTTTCTTACTGTCTGCTCCATTCCTTTCTTCATAGAAACAGGGTTAGCCCCAAAAGCAACAGCTAGCAACCCAGCTTTGACCATCTCACGAGCCAAAACAATTGCAGTAGTTGTACCATCCCCAGCTAAACTGTTGGTCTTAGTTGCAACCTGCAATAGACATTAAATTATTAAGAGTTTCTCAAATATTCAATTATCCACCTGCAGTTTCAGGGTCGAACTAATAACCTCCTTGATAAGTGTGACTCCTGCATTTTCAATTGTATCTGGAAGTTCTATGGCTTGAGCTATGGTAACACCATCATTAATTACTTTCAGCACACCAGATTCAGAGAGAACTACGTTGCGCCCTGCATAATTAGTCACACAATCAATGCAATCCAAAACAAGAAGGCAGACAACATATCATATACACTATGTTTAAAAACAAGCTCCTCATATACATTTCATTGACAAGAAATGGTGTAAACCAACTTATTCCTTTCAATCATGTGTTTGAAGGACATGGTTAATGTTTACCTTTTATTAAAATTTCTTTCTTAACTTCTCCTAACTGGGTCGGGTCGCGACACAATTTGAATTAACCACCAACTTTGTTCTCCTTTTCCATGAATTGTCATTTCCTCTAAGGTCTTCATAGGAATTTTAAATGGAAATATGGACCAATACGAATGATATAAGCAAGTCTAAGAATTTAAAAGAAGCAGGAAATTAAGTCCATTATTATACCTTTAGGTCCTAAGGTGACAGAAACAGCATCAGCAATCTTATTGATACCAGAAAGTAAAGCTTCTCTGCATTCATTATCAAAAGCTATTCTCTTTGGCCCAGCTCTCACCACCATCATCTTCTTCTTCCCAAAGCTTTGCCTCAACGCCCACGAATTACACCTTCCTTTATCTTCCTGAAAATCCAAGTCAAACATTGCAAAAATCAGCTGAAAACAACAACTTAGTGCAATTTCATGGGAGAGAAGGTGCCAGAATAGATTGTATCGTGAGAGTTACCAAGAAAGAAAGCTTTAAAGGGGAGAATAAAGGTGAAAAGATTGGCAGTGACATCTTATAACGGTGTGGAGAGAGAGGGAGGGAAAGAGAGAGAGAGAGTGTGTGTGTGTGTGTGTGTGTGTGTGTGTGTGGGATGAGGTTTTGCAGTTGAAGATTGTGGAACTCTTTTTCCTTGGAGGTTTTTCAAAGAGGTTTTAGGGGCGAAGAGGAAGAAGGCCGCTGCCAGACGCCAGCTAACCTTTCCTCTGCTCAGGTTAGATAAAATGACAAAAATGGTCCCTGTATTTGCAATATTTTTAAATTAGTTCCTTAAGTATACTCATAAACAACTTTGATCCTTTAAGTTTAACAAACTTTGAGGCGGTTAAATTTAAAGGGCACTGTGAAAAAAAGTGTTAAGATGAACTTACATTTGGAGGAATAATTTTTGCTAATTTGATCTATTTCTGCGTGCAATTTTTTTAGACAGTTTATGCTTATTTTGATGTATTATATTATCTAGTGCATTTTTTGGTAATTTGACCAGATTTTTTGGTATTTCTGATTAAATATCTTTTTTAATAGATCATTTATGTCATTTTCTTGATCAAATTATCTAATGACTTTGTTGTTGTTTTTTAATGGAATTTTTACCTCCTATAGTAAAGTTTAACACCTTATTTATTTTAAATAAATACCATTTAAAAAAATTATATTTTATAGATACCTTTTAAGGTTTATAGCAAAATATTTAATTTTGGTTACCTCCTAGCCCTAAGCCACTAAATACGCTAATCAGTTACACTATTTTCTTTGATACATCCCATTCTCTTCCCACATCCTATTAAAATTAAAATCAGTTACACCAGCGTATCAAAACTTCTGCCGCCGTTCTTGACTCTTGATTATCTAACGAGTGCCATTTACGAGAAAGGGAATCCACAACACTATATATCAAAGCTATCAAACATGAAATTCACCACATCAATTCGGTACACACTTCTACTTTTGGTAAAAATCAGAACATCCAACTTTTTTTCTTTCTTTTTGCTTTGTCTTCTTCTGGAATTGAACTGCAGTAGATGAGTTGGAATATGAGGCAACGACCCTCGACGCAGAGCTGGAGAGTTGCAACTTTGAATTGCTGGTTGCGGTGGAAACTGGGCCGCCACTCGACGTCAAGTCCAACGAGGAGATGGCAGCGGTCGTGGAAAGAGGATTCGATTTCGGAGATCCACTGAGTGATGATTTCTTTCTTTCGCGATGAAGAAGAACATTTCTTTTAATATATTTCAATGTAATTTCAATGTATTACGCTGTATTCATGATTTTCATTGTATTCATTGTCTTTTTTTTCATTGTAATTCAATGTATCTCGCTGTATTCCATGTATTTATTGTATTCTCTGTCTTTTTTTCATTGTATTTCAATGTATCCCGTTGTATTCTATGCATTTCATCGTATTCATTGTCTAGCTATATGCCATGAATGTATTCATAAGTTCTTTTTAATTAATATAATTTATGTATTCACATGTATTACATAATTTCTCTAAAGATTGCTATGTTTTGGGGTATTTTTTGGTTGAGAATCTTTTTTATAACTGAAAATACAAATTTTGTGAGTTATAATTGAGATTGTTGAGTTATATTAGGAGTCTATTATGTTAATTGATTCACTTTTCGTTTTAAAAATAGTGGAATCCCCTATTTCTCGCCGTGATTACAATCGAATACAATAATTTGTCCAGCTGTAATCCCATGTTTCACTCCATGAATACAGTCAAATACACTCGAATACAACAACTGATTAGCTAGACTTCCTAATTCACGCCTATTTTTGCTACTGTATTCATGAATACAATAGCGTAAATACATCAAATACATCTTATAACCACTTAAAAGGTATCTATAATCCGTAATATAGCAAATGATATTTATAGATGACTAATTACTACTAAAAGATAGTGCTTTATGAAAAATTTCTCTTTTTTTATCGACAAAGGATATGTATGATTGTAACACCCCTCAAACCTGTAAAAGTTTCAAGACCCGCTAAATATAGAATTTAATTTTTTTATAATCTTAAATTATACTTCTATTACGGATTAAAATACTTGTGATTGATTTTGAGTTACTTCTCTATTTATAAATAATTGACTGTACAATTAGGGAAATATTAATAATTTTAATATTATTAGTTATTAAAAATAAGAGTAATTAAATACTAGTTAAGTCAAAACAAAAAACAAAAAAGAAAAGAAATAAAGAAAGCAAAAGAAAAGTCACGTGCAACAAAGCCCATAAAGGGCTCTTGACAATTAGCAGGCAAAAGGCGTAAGCCTTAGGAAAATTTAAAACAAAGCTCGACATTCTGTCGCCCAACAAAAAACAGAAGCGGCGTTAGCGAAATACTTACATAGGCAACGAAAATTTTAGGGATCTTTACAAATCACTAATTCTTAAACTCAGGTATGTGAAATTCCCTACTATCAATTACCCCATAGTAGTAATAGGTAAGAATTGAATAGTTAATTCTTTTCTTTCTCTGTATCACCATCAAATTTCATGTTTGGATATGAAACTTTGGAATCAAATAAAACGCACTGGTTGTTGTAGAATCAATTGTTTGGGCGGTATAAATTGTACTGGGGTCTACGTATTGGCTCAAGGATTATTGAGGTGAGTTGATACTATCCTTTACTAAAGTGGTTTAACTCACAAAAGCACGCATACAAAGTGTTTGATGAATTGCTTAAAAGAGTTTATATTTACTTAATTGGAGCTAGTGAGTACCTATTAACTTAAAATTGTTCTAGCAAAAATTTAGACGATTTATTATGATATACGTGCATAAATTTTCAGATTTTTGTGTTATTCTTATATGCTATTTTCAGGTTGAAAATTTATGAAGAAGCAAGAATCTTTAAGAATACTTTTACATGTTTATTTCATTCTTATATCATACTTTACATTTAAGGATACCAGCATGAGCATGTACATGATGTTCTATAAAGAAAAGATCTAGACTTGAAAAGTCACAAGAAGATGTTTTAGAAAGAATTTTTTTTTGGGAGTATCCTTTATTCTGAGAAGGGATCATCGTCCAGGCCGAGGGTCCTGACCAAGGCGTTGACTTCCTGAAACTACTTGTGCCAAAGTAGGGAGCATACGAGCCGAGGGTCTTGTTGCTGAGAATTTACTTAGCTATGCTAAACTATGATATATGGGCGCTGAGAACCATGAAACGAGTGGCACCTCGTGGATTGGGCCTATTCGATCAGGTTGGGATCGAACCCGTGCCGATCACACAGTGACTGAGACAGAATTAAGTCAGGATAGTTGGAACTCCCAAGGTATAAAGAGAAGTAATTTTTTTTAGAAAGAGAAAAGAATTTCTTTTAGAATATTCATAAACTGCTATTATGCAATTATTTTAGAACTATTCTTATAAGCTTTATGTTTTACATGCATTTAGAACCTTTGCTCGTAATGTATATGTTATTAAAGTTTTGCCCCGTTGTTGAGACTCACGGAGTACAACGGATGGTACTGACATCCACTTTTGGGAACCTACGTTGGTCTGCGGTACAACATAGGAACCGATTTTGCAGGCGAGCAGGCTACGAGTTAGGACTTCCTTCTCTTCCAGTGCTATTGGTGAGCTCTGCTTTTGTTTGTGGAGTATTCCATAGAGTTATCTTTATTTAGTTATTTCTTTGTTTACTTAGAGAACTGGCTAGGAAATCTCATGTCCTGAGCAGTGCGTCAGTTTATCAGTAGAGGCTTCATACTCATAGACACATGAAAGACAAGATGAACAGAAGACAACTCAATAGGTAGCGCTAGCTTATAAGCCACGTTTCCTTTAATTTCTAGAATTTCATAAGGCCCGATAAATCTAGGGCTAAGTTTCCCTTTCTTACCAAACCTCATAACTCCTTTTATTGGTGAAACTTTCAAAAACACCTTATCACCAACCATGAACTCTAACTCATGATGCCTATTGTCAGAATAAGACTTTTGACGACTCTGAGTCGCTTTAAGTCTTTCTCTAATTAGCTGAACTTTCTCCAAAGCCTCACAAACAAACTATGGACCAATCAACGACACCTCTGCTGGTTCAAACCAACCCACTGGAGACCTACATCTCCGCCCATACAACGCTTCATAAGGAGCCATACCAATGTTGGCTTGATTGTTGTTATTGTAAGCAAATTCTATAAGTGGCAAGTGATCATCCCAATTACCTCCAAAATCTATAACACACGCATGCACCATATCTTCGAGAGTCTGAATGGTCCTTTCTGCCTGGTCATCGGTCTGTAGATGGAAAGCGGTGCTTAAATTGACCTTAGTACCTAATCTTTTCTGAAATGCCTGCCAAAAATGCGCCGTGAACTGAGGGCCTCTGTCAGATATGATTGAAACTGGAGTATCATGCAATCGGACTATTTCTTTGATGTACAACTGCACATACTGCTCTACGGAATCCGTCGTCTTTACTGGTAGGAAATGTGCGGACTTTGTCAATCGGTCTACAATAACCCAAATTGAATCATGTTACGGTACATGCGAGGTAGACCTACTACGAAATCCATATTAATCATCTCCCACTTCCACTGTGGTATCTCTATATCTTGAGCTAGGCCACCAGGCCTTTGATGCTCGGCTTTGACTTGCTGGCAATTTAAACATTTAGCCACATGATCTGCTACTTGTTTCTTCATGCCTTTCCACTAATACAACTCTTTCAAATCTAGATAGATTTTGGTAGCACCTGGGTGGATAGAGTACCTCGAATTGTGAGCTTCCTCCATTATGGCCTTCCTAAGACCATCTACATTAGGCACACATAACCGATCATTCAACTTTAAAACTCTGTCACTTCCTAAAGTGAAAGCAGTGATTTCTTTGTTTCTGACTCCTTCCTTTAATTTCACTAAGTACGGATCTTCATCTTGCTTAGCCTTAACATGCGCAACAAGGGAGGATTGTGCTAAGGCATAAGCATTTATACCTCCTTCTTCAGTCTCATCCAATCTAATTCCATCATTTGCCAGTTTTTGAATTTCTCGACCCATAGATCACCTTTGTACTGCAAGATGGGCCAAGACACCCATTGACTTCCTACTAAGTGCATCTGCTACCACATTAGCTTTGCCCGGGTGATAAAGGATATTGATGTCATAATCTTTCAATAGCTCGAGCCACCTTTTCTGTCTCAAATTTAATTCCTTTTGCTTGAAAATGTATTTGAGGCTTTTGTGATCTGTAAGCACTTCAGAATGCTCGCCATAAAGGTAGTGTCGCCATATCTTTAATGCAAACACCATTGCTGCAAGCTCCAAGTCGTGTGTGGGATAGTTCTTTTCATGATTCTTTAACTGCCTGGAAGCATAAGCAATAACTTTTTCATTTTGCATAAGAACACAACCGAGACCAACTCTAGAGGCATCACAATACACTATGAACCCACCCGAACCTGTTGGCAAGGTTAATACAGGTGCAGTGGTCAACCTCTTCTTTAACTCTTGAAAACTCTGCTCACAAGCGTCTGACCGCTGGAACTTAACTGCTTTCTGAGTCAACTTAGTTAATGGAGCTGCAAGTAAGGAAAACCCCTATACAAACCTTCTATAGTAGCCAGCTAACCCCAAGAAACTCCTGATTTCGGTTGGCGTTGTCGGCCTAGGCCAGTTCTTGACTGCTTTTGTCTTCTGAGGGTCTACTTTTATTCCTTCACTAGATACCACGTGGCCTAAGAATGCCACTGACTGCAACCAGAACTTACATTTTGAAAACTTGGCATAAAACTCATTCTCCTTCAAGGTCTGCAAGGCTATTTTGAGGTGTTCTGCATGATCTTCGTTGCTCTTAGAGTACACCAAAATATCGTCTATAAACTCAATAATAAAAGTATCCAAGAATGGCTTGAAAACTCTATTCATGATGTCCATGAATGCAGCTGGAGCATTTGTCAACCCGAAATATATCACTAGAAATTCATAGTGCCCGTAGCGAGTTCGAAAGGTTGTTTTAGATATATCTTCTTCCCTGATTCTCAACTGATGGTACCCCGACCTCAAGTCTATTTTTGAAAAGTACTTTGTACCCTGAAGTTGATCAAATAAATCATCAATTCTTGATAGTGGGTACTTGTTCTTAATGGAACTTTATTCAACTGCCGATAGTCGACGCACATTCTGAGAGACACATCTTTCCTCTTGACAAACAGGACCGGGGCACCCCACAGTGAAACACTCGGCCTGATGAAGCCCTTGTCAAAGAGGTCTTTCAGCTGTTCTCTCAACTCATCAAGTTCTGTTGGAGCTATCCTATAAGGAAGTATAGATATGGGCTGAGTGCCTGACATGAGATCAATGCCAAAGTCTATGATTATTTTAGAAGGAAGTCCGGTAAGGTCATCTAAATTCTCTAACAACTGGCACAGACTGAAGAGCTGGTGGTTCTGATTCTGGATTAATGTTGTGAGCCAAATAGGCGAGACACCCCTTACCGATCATTCGTTGTGCCTTAAGGTAAGAAATAAACTTACCTACAAGCGATGCTGAACTACCCTTCCACTCTAAGACTTCTTCATTTGGAAATTGGAACCTGACTATCTTGGCATGACAATCTAACATGGCATAGCAGGAAGATAACCAATCCATACCCATGATCACATCGAAATCCACCATTTCTAACTCTATGAGATCGGCTTTGGTGTTGTGACCTTGGACTGAAACTATACAACCTTTATAGACTCTGGTGACTTTCACCGACTCGCCAACTGGGGTACATACTAGGAATAGCTCACTAAGTTGTTCAGGTTCTAGTTCGAGGTTAATTGCAAAGTATGGAGTCATATATGAAAACGTTGAACCTGGATCCATTATGGCGTAAGCATTATGTGAGAGGACTAAAAATATACCTGTAATAACTTCTGGAGATGCCTCTGCACTCTGACGATCAAGTGTAGCAAACAAACGGGGTTGTCCCCCTCCCTGAGTAACTCGATCTGCACCTCTGCCTTCCCCATGCCCGGTCTGATTATGAGAACCACGAGCCTGAGGTGGTGCAACTGCAGTAGCTGAGTAACTAGAAGGACGAGTTGATCCACCACTGAAATTACGTCGCAACTTTTCTTAGTTGGCTTTTATATGACCAATGTCTCCACAATGATAGCAACCATGAAACTCGAGCTTGCACTGACCTGAATGTTGCCGCTTACATGTTCCACAAAGACCTTGTTGGTGTGAATGTTGCTCAGCATGACTCTGGATATGTGAGGATAATGTCCTAAAATTCTGATTCTAGCGAGACTGATTTCCATAACTCTGAGTACGTCTGAAGGAAAACCCACCACCTAACTAATGACTAGACTGAGCTGGTGCTAATGACTCCTTATTAGAGGAATCCTTTCCACCTCCGCTGGATGTACCATTAAACCTGCCCGCTGTCCGGGCTTTCTTGTTATGCTCTTTTTCTTCTCTCCTTTGATGTCTGTCTTTTTCTAAGTGCTTGGCAAATCCCACAATAGAGGAGAAGGCTAGCATCCCTACCGTTGCAGCTGATGTCGTATCCTTAATGCGGTAAGCTAAACCGCCAACAAACCTGCGAATCTTTGTTTTTTCTGTCTTAACCATGTGAGGAGCATGCTTAGCTAACCTTATGAATTCCATGTAGTACTCTTGCGCACTTTTATTCCCTTGCTTGAGCTGTTCGAACTCTGTAGCCTTAGCTTCCCTATCCTCTTCTGGGATAAAGTTAGCCATGAAGGCCTCTTCAAATTCTTCCCAAATAGGCGGACCATCATCTTCATCTCTTTCCTTTTCCCACATCTCAAACCAAGCGCCAGCCACATCTCTAAGTTGGTAAGCAGCCAGCTCCACAACTCCATCATCAAATGCTTTCATCACTCGGAGGGCTTTCTTGACACCCTCCAGCCACAACATTAAATCTTCATCAACTATAGAACCATGGAACACTAGAGGATACAACTTCAAAAATTCATTCACACTTGAGGACTCAGAATTGTTCTGTCTATTTGATTGAGGTGGAATCTCATCTCTTATTTCGTTTTGGTTGGCCATAAAGGCTTTAAACATCTCCATAACACTGTTGACAGCATTAAACATCTGACCCACCTCGGGAGATATAGTTGTCTGAGCCGGAGCTGTTGTTGGGGGCGACACTGGATCTTGAGGTACTGGATCATCATGCTCCACCCCTTCTTCATGTTCAACCCGGGGTAGTTGAACACCATTTGTGGATTGACCTTTCCTTTTCGGAGTTGGAGCCTTTTTAGTTCTGCCTTGAGCCATAATGAGCAATAGTTTCTTGAGCAGCATCTTGAGTGTCGGTGTCAGAGTTGCGAGTACGAGCCATTTCTGCGAGTTTTGGAGAAAATAATACCTTAGATAATTTCTTAGAGGTAGGCTTNATAATAAAAACAGTTAAGCGACCGTGCTAGAACCACGGAATTCGGAAATGCCTAACACCTTCTTCCGGATTAACAGAATTCCTTACTCAGGATTTCTGGTTCGCAGAATAATAAACAGAGTCATATTCTCCTCGATTCAGGGATTAAAATTGGTGACTTGGGACGCCTTAAAATTCCC